CCTCCGTGATGGGCCTCCGTGATGGGCCTCCGTGATGGGCCTCCCTGATGAGCCTCTGTGATGGGCCTCCTGCATAATGGGCCTTTTGTGTAAAATGAGTTATCGGCATCCACGTGTTTACAAAGCTCGGCCCAGTGGCGCTAAACTTAGCCCACTGTTGGCATGATTGCCCGGGAAAGAAGTTATACCACTTTGTTAGATCCCAGATCTAAATGATTGTATGACAATCAGTACCTAGCCACGCGATATATGTAGAACGGTTGTCATATTTCCAACCACAACTGCCTATCAAAAGTTCATGTGGGGTCCACCTATATTAAATTGTAAACAATCTATGATATTGGGTTTGCGCACCTTTATCCCTCATATTATCTGGCTTGGCCTGGGGCATCCGAGTCTCGATCCATTGTTTTGAGGATGATATAGCCTAGAGCTTTCGACGAAGGCTTTCTTCAAAATATCCTGTCAGTCTGGAAATAGCAAAAAAATAAAAAGGAATTACGTTGGTGGCTTGCAGGTAGACGTTAGGCGCTAAGATATAAATAAACTTAGGGTAGCTTCGAGTTAAGGCGAATGCGAGATAACTGATGTTGTACATCTAACCCGAAGGTCTTGCACACTTGTGGTGGTAGGCCTCTATGTGAACGCGAGCTGGAGAAAGCAGCCTATTTCTTTTCTTTGCGGGGCTCTACTATGGCCGTCTCTATGCATAGCACCATTGATCACTTCCGCGACCTACACGCAGCTGATGGGCCTTGCATAGATAGAAGACCGGCAATCCTATAGGTCCAAGCCTTGGATGCTTAGTTGGCCGTCCTGTCCTGTGTGTTTAGCCGATAAATCGACTAAGCATCATGACATGAGTGGGAATAAAGAAAACCATTGTAACCAATGTGAAGCGGGCCATCTGGATGGGTGTAGACATTGCTTGAACATCACTGTGACACTTAGCAAATTGAATGCTGTATGCTGAACGGAAACGGAGGGCTACTAGATATATTTCGGCGGTGTAGTGGATGTATATATACCTCAACGATTTTCAGGGAAAATATCTAAGCCTGTCTGTGATCAAAACGCTTTGCCTTCATACAATAGCATTTACGCAATTCATCTCACAGGATGAACATCGATAGCCACATTCAACAAGTCGCATATATTCTAGGCTACCGAACGGAGCCACAGACCCACCTTTCCAAAGCTCTTATGGCCCCTGGGACTCACGGAGAACAGTTGGTAGATTGTGGAATAGACTTGATTCGTTCGTGTCTATCGCAATATGGTTATGAGATGAAGATGCAAACAAGTAAGGACCTCCAAGATACCGGACGCTCAAACAATCTGACATTGAGAAGGCGATATTGCCGCAGCAAAGGAAAGGCTGTGTAGCTACGCTCATCTTAGTTCAGTCGCCCAACGTATAGCTATCGACAGGATCATTCCATACAACTCACAGTCCAGCGAAGAGCGTCACACTATAGTCGGGAAGTCCATGGCAGCGTTTATTGCAGCCGCACATCTCGACTGTGGGAGAAGCTATCCACGTACATGGAAGATATTGGAGCATATAGGGTAAGGCGTTATTTACAGATCTTGGTTGCACCAAGACTGACAAAGGAGTATGATAGGTTCTTCACCAAAGAGGACAACGGGGTGGATCCAGCACAGCTACAGGCCAACATACATAGGGATACGCATCTGCCTATAGCACTCGCTGGGAATGGCGACGGACGTGCTGCGACGGTAGATTTACTACCAAACACGGTCCACGAGAGCGAATCGAAACGATGTGGCAATATTTCATTCGATATGGGTGGAGATGGCAAACAAAAGACAAAGCAAGGTCGACGCCAGAAGCATAATCCAATGGCATCCTTCCTCGAGGAGGAAACCATGAAGTGTCACGCGAAATCTGTTCGGCCTCCGCAGGAATCGTACTTTACTGCAGAAATCGAGATGGCCATGCAAAACCCAGATCTGAAACAGTGGGATGAAGTGTTAAAACGGCTAATATTAGGTTCTGGCAGCTCGCTGTCAGTTCTGTTGCTAAAGGAGGCAATTCAAACGTGGCGAGCGAGGGCCGACCTGCCTCATCTGCAGATCTCTAAACATTCATCGAAGGCAGAGACATATACCAACATCTCCCTTATAGACCAGAGAATCACGGGGCTGAATTTATTTCGAAGATACCACATTTCACACTTATTCGAAGCATGTGGTGGATGTGAGACTCCAACACTTTCAAGGTTTATTGCAACCCCAGCAATTACTGCTTCGGGTATCAGACGGGCTGGCAATCCCCTCAAGAATGCAGAGTCAGAACTGACCACAGCGATGATGAAGCAAATGCTTCCTGGTCTCGAACCAGGGTCGTCAGATTATAAGAAGGGGTACAAGGATGTTAACAACCTTCGATTACTTGCACGGAGATTTCACATATTACAGGAGCATTTCGGCAAGGGTGTTCTTGCATTGATACCTTATCCGCAGCATCCCAACCAGACAGGTTTGGAGTTATCTGACAATATGTAAGTGCTATATGGGACAGCCTAAGGTCTAGCTAACAAGCTGTCAGGCTCTCCAAGGTGCCGGAACGCATCTTTCTCCAAATTGTTTCAATCCTCTATCGTTCCCAAGGAAACTATCTACGGGCATTGAGCCACGCAGCCGGGCAGGTTATAGAGATGATGCTTTACGAACCTCAAGAACTTTGTCCCATGCTCCAGCTCGAAACAACAGACAGCAGCTACATATTGGAACAACCGAAAGATCTAGATACCATACTTCCTCTTCTCACTTGACGGTCGGTGATTGACTGGCATCACAATGGCAATAGCTGTCACCTTATTTACATTTTGGAATGTGTTGGATGCCATCAGAACGGTGCTTGGAGGTTGACGGACGGTTTCGATCAAGCATCAAACTATTCCCCAGTCAAGTAACAGCTGCTTTGGACTCTTTGCCGACTAGCCATTCTACACCACATGAACTGTATTATGCCAGGTCCATTGTGGTGCATCCCGAAAGGGTGGGGCAACGTGTTCCGAGTCATTGTCGAGACTTAAAGAACCTTACCCTTAAAAGTCTCATTACCACCATCAAACTGATCCAATCGTGATCATGAGATTCTACCTTTTGTCATCCTAGATTGTGACACTCCATGATATCTAACTGCACCCTGTATGCAGGCGGATTCGTTGAATTTCAGTACCAGTTTAGAACAGGGTTCCACTAGCAAAATTGAATATGCCTTTGAAACGGATTAGAGTCTTCAAGAGATTTTACCTGTAGAATGATGGTCTCGTATCAGGTAAGACTAGAGGAGATAGATCCAAGGCAGAAGGCTAGTTGGAGTGGTACCATTTAGGTATCTGAAATCATAGTACTAGAGATAGACGGGGCTCCTCCTTTTCAACAGGAATTTTGTTGTTACAAGTATGTCTGTTTAGCTTCAAAGCAAAGTGTGCATTCTTCCATGTTATGTTACAAAACTAATTATCTTTACCAAACAGATTCTTGAAGAGGTTTTCCTCCAACTTGGGACGACTGTTGTGAGGATCAATAGAAACTGCACCTCAACGACAAGGGTCCGAGAGTTATGCATGACCTCTTTAGCAAATTTACCCCTATATTATTGTCTATAAGGCTAATATGTCCTGCAGCTGAGAGTCGCCCCATTTACGGTAACGTGCAGCAGATGTGCAATTCGGTCACTCTCGGTAATAATGTGTTGTCTATGTACTGCAGGTGACGTGCTATCTGCTCCGTTGACGGATATGTGATGTGTCTACTGTATGTACGTTTTAGTGCGATGCTAATGTGTGGTATTGTTGTAGTGCGTGCGCGATCAAATGAAAGTTAGGGGCGGTGACGTGGTGAGGGGTTATTAGGTACATGATTTTAACGGTAGCCCTAATAGCCCCAGGACCATTGCCGCCCAACACCAACACAGTGCAACTAATTTCTGACACAGCGCGAATTAGCACCAGTGGCCTGGTGAGTATTTATATCCCTGTTTCCTACCGCACACTACGGCACCGGTTGGGAAAAGTAACAGTCAGTTAGCTTCCTGGTGTTTCAACCATGAAGTGACATTGTCCTTCCTGCTCGCCTCCCCCGCGCACGAGTTTAGCCATGGAGTCACATCCCCTTCATTACTACAACTACGTGACTTGGCACCCCGCTATGACTGTATCATCAGACGAAATATCAGACGACCCCGCAGAAGCTGGAGATCCCTTTGCGTTTCCAGGTCCTGAGGTGCAATCAGCTATGATTAGCACACTGGAACAATTCCCATACCATTGCCTAACCCCTAGTCAAATTCCAATTGAGTACCCACCTCAAGACATTGCGTCCTCGGAAGACGTCCATCAGTCTCCTTAGAGTACTGAGCCGTACGAGGCCTTGTCTGACATGGGGGGTGCTTTGGAAGCCGTTGCTCTAATGGAAGCTGCTGAGGCATCTGACTCGATGAACCACGAGCCTGCTTTTCCTATTTCGCTGTCAAAGTGTGACCTGGACTTGGAAGAAACTAGAAGCCTTACGCACGATCCTTCCAACACCAGATCAGAGAGTATTTATCGTTGCGATTATCCGGGATGTCAGAATAGGGCTAACTTCAAGCTAAAGGCGCACCTGACGTAAGATCCCTGTCCCATATCAATCTTTGGCACCTTTTCTGACGATATCAGGAAGCATATGAAGAACCATAATAAGCCTGTTCGATGTCAGTATCCTAAATGCACCGTCCGAGCTGCAGAGAGAAAAGATATTCGTCGGCACGCCATGGCAGCGCACAAGCCGTGGGCCAAGGCTCGATGGAACATGGAGGAGTCGTTCTGCTGTGACATTTGTTCCACACACTTCACGCGGAAGGACAACTTGCGGAAGCATTGCAAAAAGAAACATGGACATACAACCGGTGCCGGAATAGGAACGCGGAAAGCTTAGATCATTCAATCCAGCCTCATGACCCTTTTATACATAGAATTCTTTTCTTTTGATATCTGACCACCCGAGGCCTCCCAGACGTGAGGTACACATTGGATCTCTGGTGATGCCGTAGTTCGAATAGAAGAATACTATACATATATAGCGAGTAAATGATTCTAGCTTTAGAACAGCTGTACTGAGCTTTATGCAGATACTAAGGATTCAGGCGTATCGTGATGATCGTCAACCTTCTCAGTTTCTCTATTCTTGATCACGTCTTCAATAAGAGAGTAGCGTCTTTGGCCTGTTGCCTTCCTCATATCTCATACCCACTACGCTTGAACGCCATGCTATACTATTCGTAATTACATTATGAAACTTCAACTACCAGCTGGCGCGGGTTGGTGGCCTCGATACTATGGGGATCAGATGTGTTTGAACCTGGGCTATTATCATGTGAGAGGGTTATTGCCGATGCTTAGGGTCTGTAATATTCTCATCGAATGACATCGAGTGGAAGTCTACTCAGTGTGGACATTGTGATTAGAATTCGAAATGCTCTTCCGCCTGTCCCTCTCCCTCTCTTTTCTTTTCATTTCCCCCGCCTGTGTAATCTAGAACAAGCACATATCATTAAACGACAAAAGAAAGTGGAGGGGTACATCCGACAACCATTTGTTGCTTCCCGCTCAATCGATGCAAGGCTGAGCATTGCAGCGTGGCGTCATGCTAGATACGTGTTCAGAACGAGGCGACCACTATCAGGTCAGCTCTAGTAAAATCGATGTTGGGCAGAAAATGCATGCTGCGTTCCATTTGCAATCTTGTACGTTCTGCATGATGTGGTTCTCGACAGGTATTTCTCCCTGTGAGATTTGTTGTATCATATATGAATACATGGCAACGTGCTGTGGTGACCATCGTTAGAATCGCATCTCGAGACTAGTGAAACAGTTTGTCGCATATTCCCACATGGCATCAACCGTCAATAACACCCAGGGATCTGTCCCACGCGACGATGATGAAGGACACCTTCACATCAGGGACTATCAAGTCGAAATGGTGAATAAGAGTTTAGAAGGAAATTTGATTGTAGTGGTGAGTGGGGCTATTCTCGCTTTATTCTCTACATCCAACGCCGGAAGCAAAATAAACTAACAGATAGTTCAAGATGCCCACGGGGACGGGAAAAACACAAATGTAAGAAATGTACGCATCTTCTGTCGAGTTTGTGGTGCTCAAGACTTCAACAAGTGCCGTACACCGAATACTCGCAGAGATAGACCGAGGAAACCCAGACAAGGCAAGCTGCCCTTACCTGCTAGATAGATAGCATAATTAATCACCAGCAGCTTATCTGGTTCCTATGCCCAACAGTCGCTTTATGCAACCAGCATGTTCGTACCATGACAGCCTACGTCCCTCCCATGTGGTGTAGATCATTTACCAGTAACGATAACGTCGACCATTGGGGGAGTGTTGAAACGTGGAACATTGCCCTGGCCAACGTCAAGATTGCAATCTCGACGTATCAGGTTTTGTATGATGCGCTGGTCCACAGGTTTGTAACGATGGACCGTTTATCATTGATTATATTTGACGAGGCGAGTGCCGGGGAGAGAAGGATGGTATTCTCTATGTGATGCCAGCTGACACATCCACCAGCTCATCATTGCACCCATGACCATCCTGCCAGCAGAATAATGCGAGAATACTATCCCACCGAATCACCGAGTCTTGATCACGAGAGACCACACATACTGGGCCTTACAGCATCTCCGATCTTGTCAGACCTTTCCACCTTAGGGTATGTATGCATCTGGCATTGATGAACAGGATCGAGATCGGGACCTGACAGGTATACAAAAGGGATGTTGAAAAAAGGCTACACAGCCCATGCAGGACACCGCGCCAGTTTTACGCGCAGCTGTTACGCTTTACGAATCAACCGTCGATTGAGACACGAGTGCCGTTGCGTAACTCGCTGAGCAGTACAAACGGGTCACTGATACTAGAAAGACTACGTGGACTTCTACAATCACCGCATGAACAAAATGCACGCTTGAAGAAGTCAAAGAGCCAACTTCCTCGCTTTAGCAACCAGGCCGAAACAATAGGCAGGGAGCTGGGATCTTGGGCCGCTACGAATTATATTCAGGCCTCAATTACCCAATTCAAAGAACACATGCGAATGAATGCCGAGATAACACACACGCCGAGCCCCGAACGAGAATATACCATGCAAATGCTTTGTAAGCTAGGTAACATTGAACATTATGGGGAGCTGGTTCACTCTGATAATATCTCACCCATGAGCGAATGTTTACTTGACACCTTGATCAAGGAGCATACGAAAGGATTCCGTGCTCTGATATTTGTCTCGCAGCGAGCCACTGTACTTGCACTGAAATGGCTGATCGAAAATCACCCAGGAACACGCAAACGACTTCGTTGTGGGACATTTGTGGGTATGTCCCGAATTCACCAAAGCCAAACTAAGCTCGGCGATGTTCATGACATTAGAAGCCAAATGGAAACGCTTCAAAAGTTCCGGGATGGTTTACTTGACCTTATTATAACCACTGACGCGCTGGAGGAAGGAATAGATATACCGGCGTGCAACACAGTCCTGAACTTCAACTGTACCTTGAATTTGAAATCATTCATTCAGCGTCGGGGGCGCGCTCGGAGAGAGCTGTCTAAATTCATCATCATCCTTCGAGATGCAGAGGACTTAAAAAATGTGCGCCTACTGAGGTCTCGGGAGAGTGAGCTGGTTAGAAAACTTCAGGATGACGGAAGGGCAGTGGAACCAGAAAACTCAAAGGCTGATGAACAGCTCAGAGACCTGTTGGTTTTCAGGTCT